ATTAAAATTGTATCGAGATTACGAAATTGTTAAACATAAGCTTTACGAAAATCGTTTATAATAAGTTTTTTATTAATGAGTTTGAACATGTTAGGTTCCTTTTGCCCTCCCTTTTTTTCACTATTTGTCCACTGTAAATATTCTGGTGCCCACAGCATCCTCATAAATTATTCCATTTTAAATTGCCCACAAACACAGCCTTCTGGTCTGCATTGATGGTGCGGAAGATTTAGCGGCTTCTAAAACATTTATGAGGTGACATAAATTTTGCTGGTTTTATGTTGCAGGGAGGTAAATAAAATGCCCAAGGAGACATTAGTTAGGGAGGTGATTGTACAACCAAGACCAAACCCGGCAACTTATTTGTCCCGTTTCATCTTTTTAACCCTCATTTGATGGCAAGACCGTATGAGTTTGGGTCGACTTTGGTCATTTCCAATGCCTCAAGGCATTACACTCAGCTCAAAGCACGGGGCATTAAGGACTGCGACAAACGAAATAGCACGTGACTTCTTGCAATGCTCAGCACTTTACCATGCAAAATATGCAAAAAAGATTTGTATGTCGAGTCAAAGAGTTTCAAAAATGCCATTTAAAAGTGCTTTACTCTTCTGTCTACGTAACTCACAAAAATAGTTTTACAACTTTGCATTAAGTTTTTGTAAGTAGTTTGAGTAAACCTACAAATCTGTGTTGAATCGCCTTAACTTTTCCAGGTGACTCCCAAAAAAATGCTTCAAAGGTGTTTCAAAAATTTTGGTTTAATTGCATAATCCGACTTTTGATATGTTCAGTGATTTTTGACCCTCAGAGAAACAAATATAAATTATTAGTCATGTTTGTTTTCACCTTAAGCAAAATGCACCACGCTCTGATGTGTTGTTGAGATGGTGAATAGAGTGATCAAATTGCAGCAAATTTTAACGGAATTGGATACCGAAAACATGACTTTTTGATCGGCCAGAGGACAGCTGAAACATGGATTGACTGGATTGCAGACCGTTTGACTTTTTGGTTTCAATCTTCAATTCTTGACTCTGAGCAAGGGTTCGGTTTTTGGAACCTTTTGTGGAAGTGTCTCTCGACTTCACGGGTCCTGAGTGTGCTGAACGAGGTGGTGACGTCTCTGGAGCGGGCTGGATGCAGACTCTCTCAATTGGACGATGTTGCTTTGATGAGAGGTCCACAGAGATCTTTGAAAGCGGTCGAAACTTTTCCAAACCAACAGCCACGTACTCCTCCGGACCGACAAAGATCTCCTCAATTGAGTGAATCTAAGAAGCAATTTGTGCACAAAGGTGAATTGGATTTGGTGGTCTCACATTAAATAAGTTTACGTTCATAACAAATAATTTTGTATTCTTGACTAAATTATTAATTACCTTGCCGTCGCGGTGGTTTTAGCAATCCTTCAAGGCTTCACTTTTTTGCAGTGTTATTAGAAAATTTGAAATAACGCAACCCTTAATGCTTTTTTAAACTTAACAACTGAACCACGGAAGGTCATTGAGGAATAAGACCCGTTTTACATTCCTCTACTCCAAGCAGAAAAGTCGGCGACAAGCATCGGCCCTACTTTGAAACTTTTGCATGTTTTTTAAAAAGGAATAAATGAAACAAGCAGGGTAAAGAAGTTTGACAGTCCCTTTGTAAACTCCGATCTGTCAAAATTCTACAAACCGAATGTTTAAAAAGTACCTCTTTCCCATCCAGGGTGTAAATCTTGTAAACTGGCTCACAGAGTGTGAAACTCAGTTCTTGCAAAAGGTTTTGTAGAGAGTTTCCAGCCCTTCCTTCAATCAAGATGCGATGACGATGGAATGCATTGCCATTCTGATGTATGTATATCACTCTGGTAGACTGCTTTTTTGTCTGATGATCAGCAGAAGCAGTCTTAGACTGTTGTGACTTGAGGCAATAATTCAAAAGCTTCTGTCCACTCGGAACTCGACCCGCCTTCCAACCGGGAAGTAGAACAGACCGATCTTCCAGTTGAATGCCTTTTGCTTGACGCCTTTTATCCGAGGCTATGTAATGGCCTTCATCATTAAGTTCAGCGATTTCGTGAATTTGTGTCCTTCCGCATGGAGAAAAGATGCTTCTAACGCCATAGGGCAAAGTTGGGAATTTGGCCGTTAGAAATTCTAACAGAGAATCCCAGGTGCGGAATCGGTTTGGATGAATTACCACCCTCACGCCCTCTCCGTAACTGCTTCCATCGGGGTAAAAGTAGACAACTTTCGGTTGGGTTGATACCCCGTGTTGCATTGTGTAAGGACGAGCCCTTCACAGTGCGTTTTAAGAGCATAACTTTGACCAATGGGGTGGACGTGTTTGCTGGTTGCCGTGGTAGTGGAGTAGTGAGCGCGCTGGTGGATGAAGTTCTTCACTTTTTGCCATTAAACCTTCCAAGTGATCAGGTAACTTGTTCGGCCTCAAATCCAAAATGCAATGGGGACATTTTAGACTAGACAAACCCTGTTTAAGCGATTGAACACTTTAGGTACGCATCTCTTTAAAAGAGTCACAAACGCATGAATAAAACTTATTGTGTAAAAGTTTGCAAAGTTTACCCACTGCTAATTAATTTGATTAATTCAGTAATTAACTTCGATTAGCTGTTCAAAGACATATCCAAAATTATCTGTTCCTTTAGACGATTTGCCGCATGATCGCCAATATTTCCAATTAAAAAAGCAATATGCCATTATGATTGGCGTCACACATCAGGTCCAGTTCTTTAGTGTGCTTAAAGTTGGTAGTTGTGAGGGCCCAGGACGCATTACACTTTCGTAACCCACATACAAGGCGTGCGATATCATCTGCGTTAAATTTAATAACTTCGCTTAAGTCGTTTTATTTGGTGAAAATTATGAGATTGTTAACGTGCTTTCAGTACAAACGAGTTCGACCCTGTGAACTATAGTTTATGCGGCTACACATGAGCTAATAACTTAACAAAAAAACTCTTGTTAGGCATTCTAAAACACAGTGATCTTTATTAGTGGCAATGCGCGTTTCCAGCACCTGCTCCCTTAATTATTTGAGTCTTAAATTGTTGTCCTACTTAAATTTGCAAGTAACACAATTCGTTTTTCCTCTCCCTTACTGGTAGTTCTTAAAATGTTATTTTGAGGTTCTGCTTACCTTCCACCTAAGAGACCTTGTCACTCCTTGCTTCTGCATGCCCATACTATGCAAGAATGTGGGTGCTCTTTCAATATTTTGATGTTCAAAAGTGTATAATTTTTAAGTTACGTTGCTCTATTTAGGCCAGGATGAATGCTTGCAAAGCGACACATCATTTCAAATTTCCTAAATGCTCTATGCAAGAGTGACCAAAATATTCAGTGGAGTGACGAAGAAGTAATTTGTAACTTCAGCATCGCTAATTTCCCAAGAGATAGGTATACGGATTCCTATGACTTGGTATTATTTTAGTAGTACTTTTACGCAATAATGAATGGTAAAACTACAAAATAGCGAGAACCTTGATGCAAACAAAGGTTTCAAAAATACAATTCACTACACTAGCGTTGTAGTTTTGATTAATTTCTTCGAATTCTATTATTAAATTTTGCTTAACTCTTTGGCAATTTTAATGTTGCATGTCTAAACTACAGTCTCCCTACAGGCTTTCCTTCAAGCATAATTAAGGTGGCACCTTGACTACAAACGCCGAGAAATTCCCTAATCGATACTGTCATGACAACAATTGTTCATATTAACAATGGCTTTTTAAATACCGAGTAGAGGCCGAGTGTATTTGCTTAAAGTCACTTCTCACAGCGTTCTACCAGATCCAAAGTTTCAACGAATGGATTCTCAAAATTTGCCGCTCAGACACCAGCATAACAGACACTTAATTTTTCTCCACCTTCTTCTTCTTCGACTCTTTCTTTCCTTTTCCACGAACATCCGAACCTGTTTTCAACTTTACAAAAATTAAATATTTGCATAAAAGTTTTAAAGACTACCTAATAATCCAAAATTTTTTTGATTTTAGCCTACCTATCGACTAGTAAGTTGCTTGTTTGCATTTTAGCACTAAAACTTGCCAATGTCAGTTGCATTCATGGAATGCAACTCTGACATTTTCAAAAAAACCGCATAATTTTAAAGCATTTGTACTTTTTCAAGCGGTGCCACCTCCTACAAATGATGAGCAGTATCCAACGTTGGCACCGAAGCCTGTCCCCGCCCCAACAACGCCCTCTATAAGACCGATTTACCCGTTGCCGGAAGAAAACCTATTCAGTAAGTTCAAATCCGAGAGCATAAAGAGTTTGCAATATGTTTTGCTAAGGGAAAGCCCTTCTTTGGCATAGATGTCAGTTACCTTGCAACGACCAACCACTATTGGACTTTCTCCACCAACTCCAAGTGGATCACGGACCAAGCGCCGATAAAAAATTTTCTCACCAAATCGCTTTATGAACGTTTTGATTCGTTATCCATGGATAATGTTGCCGCAAAGATCAAAGATGACTTTGGAAAGACACCGGGTAGTCTGTTTACACCGTTGGATACAATGGATGGATTCGTTGGTACGGGACAAATTGCAAAAGGCCTTTTTCCTGAAGACACTCCAAGCGTTCGACTTACTCGTCAGTCAGGCACAATGTGCTTTAAATTGGTGCCCGATCTGGGCGCAGAAAGACCCTATTTTAGGGCCTGCATCACCGACCCAGAGAAATGTGAATATGGGCTTTCATTTAGCATTTGGGTTAATTTCCTGAATGAGATAATGACTGGCCGCCAAACACTTATCAGCACATGTAAGCTACTTCCCACCTACTACATAATGAAATTTCGCAAAAGTCTGATCGTTTTTAACCCTCTTTTAGAGTGGTCAAAGAATTTAAATTAAATGTTATTATATTATTGTTGTTGAAGTAGTTTGGCAGTAAACACCTAAATCCGCTTCGATAGCTCATTTAAAGCCACATAGCTTTACAACTCACCTAATCATTTTAAGACATAAAGCATATTGAAGATAAAAATATGAATCTCAAGGCTTTTATGAGCTACAGCCGTTGAAGGTTATAGATTTGGCCGACCTTTAGCTTGTAATTCTATGAGGCTTTAAAAGTTACAAATGGAATTTTTATGTACTGAGCGCCAAATTTTGACAGTCTTATCCGACTTTTTATTCATTAATTCAAACCAAATCTCATTGGGTGTCCAGTTTGATTATGATATGTTGTATAAATGTAAAGCTGTTTTGACGCTTATGACGGCTAGGGGATCTTTTTTGCGTTCAGCGCCTATTGGAGAGTGCGGCTTTCTAATGTCAATAGAAGACGGGCTATTAATTGTGAGAATTTACGGGTCACAACATACATGGACATGTTCGGCACCAATTTTGATCGAGAAGAGGACTTGGAACAATTTCGCCTTTTCGTGGAAATCCACTTGCGGTGACATCCGGGTAATTTGCTTAAATATCGTGCTACTGTTGTTTATTAAGTAGCTCATGATTACTTGTTGATTTAGATATACGTCAATAAACGGTTACTTGTCAGCTGTGCAGGAGTGAAAAGCGAGACCTTGAATGGGCTTTTAAAGGTCAGGGCGAAGTCACTCTGGCTTGGATGTTCATCTGATGGTGCTACTCCTGTTAAACAGACATCCGTTATTGATGCGTATCTATCGCACCCGGCCATATGGTATTGGCCATTAACGCACCATGTTCTTCTCCTTGGGGACAAAGGTTTGTTAACTCAAAAATAACCGAAACAAGATGAGTGATCCAGTTAGCTGCTAAATAAATAAATGCATCACATTATAAAGTTTCGTTTGGTTCCTCTGTATCCGTAGTCGCTGCGACTTAAGAGTCGCAGCAAATCCAAATGCTTGCCGACAAGCGTTTGAGTTAAAAAAATTATGACTAAAATAAACAAATCATTTTGATAACTTATAATCCAGCCAATCTTTGGCTATTCCGTAAATTTGTCTGATCACACAGTCTGTGGATACTTCAAGACTACTGCAGTCTAATGGAAAAGCACTCAAGCTAAAATGGATGTATTATTTTCGTAGTACCAATTTTCTCCAACATTCAACAAAATAGATGTCTTTGCAAAAAAGAAAATGATGCAATTTATGCAAGTGGCTCTAATTACACCATTGTCTATGGATAGAATCGTCACCCTTTTTAACTTTCTTGCCATCATATCTCAATAAAAATAATTACTGATGAGAGGTTGGCGGTCAAAAATACATCTGCTGAAGGCCTTTGTCCCACCAACCCACTTGAGGTGGCTTGCTTTTCGCAGCGGGTTCAGAAGCCATGCTTATACAAGGTCCTAGTAATGCGCACAATAGACATAACACTGATATAATTAAAAGATAATGCAGCATTTAGTTAGTGTGTTAATGAATTTTGTTCTAAAACGGCTTGAAAATGAGGGAAAGTATTTCAAGAAAACGACAAAAAGGAATTCAGCCGGCTTTAAAAAATCATCAAAATTTAGTGAAACTGCCTCTTGGTGCACAAAATCTGCAAAAGAAAATGATTGCTAAATGACATTTTATCCGCATTTTACTGTAGTCACGAGTGGTTCTGTAAGGACTCAATTAAAAGGTGCCGTTTTCTACTTAAACCATCCCCTTTTGTATTGACACCCTTTTTTAGCTGACCGATTTGAGATATTTCTCACGCCTATACCAACACCGCCTCCGCCCACTGACCACAGAGTGGATTACTCGAGGCTGGTTGACGAGTACCAGCCGAGGAGCTGGTTCCATCTGCCCACCAATCCCTACTACACAACCGCGGACGGATATTTTGAGTTAAACACAGAACCAAACAGCGGGAATGGATGTCGTGATGTGAAACTGCTCGGCAACAATTGTCGTAGTCGCGGTTCCTACAAACTTGATACAATTAATGCCTATTGCAAGGTGAGCATAGATCATGTAGTTTTGAAGTATAAAAGGGGTTTAAGAGGTGGCGGCCACAATCGAGAGACTGTGTAATGTCTCCGTGTGCAGCGGTGGTCTGCGCATCAGCCTGCTGTCAAGACAAACTGTTACTGACGGCGTAAAAGATTTCTCTTTTTCATGTAACCCTCTTGCATAGGTCTCAGCACTTAGGATTTTTGCTCTCGCAATTTGTAGCATAGCTTTCAAAATTAATGTAGCCTCTCTCGCCCCGCTCCTCGGGTCCTTCGTCTCAGACTTCAAAAGTGGGAAATGATCTGAGATTATTTTTATGACATCTCTAAAAAGGTACAGGCAGAAAGGGGTAAAAAGGGAGTCGACACTAGTCGCGGAAGAGATCCAAACACTCCTCTACACGAAATTCGTTGACTTCCTGCTTTGAAAAAGAGGGAATAAATTTAAAATTTTGCAAGTGAAAACGGTGTGTTTTGTAAGTATCCTGTCAACCTATCAAAGGAATACCAAGTGGGCAAACCTTTGGCATCAGTGATCCAATATAAAATCCTTTTTTTTAAAAGGTTATAAGCATACCTTTTTAGGTCGTGTTGTAGAAGACCACTTCAGTTTGTCCTCATTTTCCTGCAACTATTAAGCTAATTCGTCTCAGTCTCACGCACCGGCATAAAATAGCGCGGTTGAAATGTCTTGCCTCCGCCAAATGATGTGGATCCTGTTTAATCCCTTTTTTAGCTGAAGAATAGCCTAAAAACGACATGTCCCGGTAATTTTTCAATGTGTCAAAGTGGCTTCTCCATTGGGGCGTGGATATCCGTGCCTTCAACACTCAATGCAAATAAAAAGCCAATGTCGCTTTTTGAAGTTGCTGGATATATTAAAGTGGCGCTCTTTGGTGATTTTCTTCACCTTCTAGGTAAGCCATCAAAACACAACCCTTCTGAGGTGAAGGCTATGAGAGTTTATGTTGTCGCACCAAAAAAAATGGGAACAAGTTGGTCACGGCAGACCGGATGCCTCATAAAGGTTTTTTTAGCTAACACCTTCACATCCGAAACCGATCTTAAGCCAAGTAAAACATAGTCCGAAGGTACAGTGATGGTATCATTTGAAATCGTGGAACGCGTCAAGAGTTTCTTACCCTTCCGCCAGGCCTCACAAGCAGATTATGTAAATTGTTTAACTGCTTTACCTTCAAAGCATTTTATCAACTCTTCTAAATAGGGTGACTGTTTGGGCAAATCGTGGATAAAGTTTGTCCTGGTTCGAATACCTCTGTTGATAATCCCATTCAACACTACCGGTTGTGCCAAAACAGACAGCATTCCTTAGAAAATGCAGCGAAAAATTAGGCTTGCTAGAGCCTCCAAAAAGGAATAAAGCCCGCAAGTTGTTGGGAGGAAGAAGGAGGGGAAGAAGATAGCAATTCGGTCTACTGTGACGAAAGGAGACAAGTAGGTGGGAAGGGGACCGGGGATTTGGACAGACCGCAGAGGACAAACTATCCAACCATAACTATATTTCCATCCACGTGAACGCAACCCAAAATGGAAAGCCAACAATACAAATCGCAACAACACATCTATTTCAGCTCAATGTACTAATAACTGATCAACTGTGTTTAAAAGGAAAGGGGCGATTTGGAGCTTTGAGGTGCCTGCTTTGCAGAGACAAGTTGATTACTAAAAAGACCGTCACTTTCGTACAGACAGTTGAGTGCAAAACTGTGTCGCATTGCCCCACTCATTGCTTTTGGATGGCGTCACTATCGCATTCCTCGGTACGTCACCCTCGCCAGCCATCATACAGGCGACCAGATGAAGAAATGGTTGAAAATCCTTGCACCAAGAGTGGAATGCTGGAGTCGATTAGTGCTTGAAGCAGTGCAACTCGTACCACCGGCCTTCTCAAGAGAAAATGCTTTATCATCAACACTCCGCCGCTTTTGTAGCTTTTAAGCTCGAAATGCCCCACTACACGCGTGATGGGTGTTCCTTAGATTAATTACTAACATTTTTGCCACAAAATGTTTACTGCCTGTTGGTATTGACTAACACCACCGTCATTTATTAGTTTTTTAAAGCTTTTTGTTTCACATTTACTTCAAGTCTTGAAAAGGCATCAAAGGTCTTTAAATGTTGTTCCAAGAGTCATAAAATTTGTAGTCCTCCCAAATATACGATTTTGTGCTTTAGTTTTTGACGGAAGGTCTTGGAGGGCCACTAGAATCATTGAAGCGGTTACTCGTGGCACAGTCTTCAACGTGGGTTTCTCCATCTCCGAAGCCAATCATTTGGCCTCAGGTTTTATCAATGGTCTTTCTGTGCAAACCATGATCTTTGCCTCGCAAAAACCTGACAAAACGAATACACATGGAGAAGTGCATGATGGTGACATCATTTTAGGCAGCAAAGATGTAGGCTGGAGCGCTGAGGGCGTTGCTGTTGGCGACTTGGTCTATTGGAACCGAATTACGCTCCCGCATGAAGGCCATCGTTTTGTCGGATACACAGGTGAACCACAAGTCATTCCACCGCTGTTAACACATGTGATCGTCTTGTCTACCTAAGTTTACGATACCTTTCAGCTTCTCAGGTGCAACTGCTGTCAAATGCAAATCATTACTGGTCAACTGATGCCTACGTGCTTCACGATGCACCGTGCAGACTAGCCTTTGAAAGAAAGCGGCAACAGATGTTAACTTCTGATGAGAGCATTCCGAACTACAGACTCGCCTCCATCTACAAGCCCGTGGGACTTCAGCCGGTGCGCTACATACTCGACCAAGACAAGCGAAGTCTTGCTCCAATCCTTTCAATGCGCAAAAATGATTACTTTATGCTTGGTATGACCTTCTACAGTTGTTTTGTGGCACGTCTTGCGCAGCATGTCACCACAAAGAGAGGTTTAATGTAAACGAGAGTTTGTGATCATCTGAAAGAGAGCAGATCTACAGTACTTTGTGTTGAACCAAACAAATGCAAATCAAGCCGTGGACGCTCCTTTGCCTCTATCTTAATAAAATGAAGGACTTGCTAGCAGAATGTACAGTGAGCATCTCTACAAGAGGAACTGGAAACGACAAAGGAGATATTCGTCCTACCATCCGAAAGAATAGTGTTAAAAGTACAATTTAAACAAAAAACCAACACAATGAACTCAAGCTGAGGTGTACCTTAAATTATGTCCACGCTTTTGTTACCTTGGCGAGGTGACATTATTGACATTACAAGCTTAAACAACTGTGTTTTATGGTGCTCTTCGTAGGTCGAAGGAAGCAAGCAGTGCCTACTCAGGCCGATTTGGAGTGGCTCGATCATTGTCTTCACGCACCTTCAAAACAGACTTGTGGAGTTAAAGGAGTCACCCTCTCCATTTGGCTGTCCTTGCAGTCCGTGAGCGATTCACGCATCCGCTACATTTTCAACTCTGGAAATCCCGGGACCAGTGAGATTTCTGCCGTCAGAGACGGTCATGGATGGGCAATCTTTACACGTAGAGCACTTCTTGGGGCGTCAGTTTCTACAACCGCTGGCGACTGGACCCTCCTACTTGATTCGAAAAGCTATAAACTTGGTAAGAGGTTCAATTCTTCTTAACGTTCCATCAGAATGTTTCAACCCTTAAAAACAATCCCGTCTACTCTAGGTCAATGGTTGAATCTTGGCATTACATGGAACACCAACGTTGGATTGAAACTCTTCGTCAATGGCATTGATTTAAACATGCCTCCAACGAAGCCAAAGACGCATGCCAAGGGGTATGAAGCTCCACCACACCTTCTTGTTGGTCGATTTGATACGGACGACTTGAGTTCTTGCCTTACCCCGGCTGAGGCGGAGGCTGAGACCCACGACTATTCGTTAACGGGGATTCCGGTCTTCTGGGAGATGGCACATTTCGCGTTATCTGAGGTGGCTTACATTGACAAGTACATGACACCACACGAATATGCACTAAATTTTGGTTTCCTTGGTAATGAGATGATTCAAAAAAATAGTAAACACGTTTGGTATGGCGCTGAGTTGTTGGATCCAAGTATTGCCGACCTTTTACTGGCCAGTCAAATGAATATACCTCGACAATCTGGACCGTATGCAATGCATAATGCGAGCACATTATCAGTGCAGTATGAGGAGGACAGACGAGTGGTCATTTTGGATCAAACAAATATGCTGCGATTGGGTCCATTGAGTCCGGTCGCGTGTCCAGGAAATGCGTCCGAATGCACGAACGTAAGCAATCAATTCAACCATTTTTGTATGCTTTCCATCGGACTGAAAAACTGTCATAAGTCATATTTTTACTTAACGGGGTAGTTCACTAGTAGCAGAGATTGATTAAGTTCCAAAAATAAAAAAACCAGAGGACTGCTCTGAGAAGAATTTGAGAACATTCATAGAAAGTACAGCCCTAACGAGGTACTCAGTACGGTTGGACAGTACTCGCGATCTTTGCACTCCACAAGCAGGAAAATTTTTTTTTTTTTTGACGACTGAATAAGTAGTATAATGAAGTTTCCCAACAAGGTCCACCAAAGAATTCCATCGCCATGTTGTTGTTTCGTTTGTCACAATATGGGCGCCAATGCACAAAAATAATTCACGTTAAACCACACCTCTAAAATCTTTGCAATTGGAATCTATTTTAATAACGTAATAAATGCATGTCACTTACTAAATTCACCTTATTACACTACTGTTAGTAAAGCACTGTAACTAGTGAATGTAAATAGAGAGAACCCCAAATCCGACTTTTTCGTGTTTGGACAAATAATGCTTATTTGTACAGTCTAAGCTTCCCAACAGGATGTAGTTGAAGGCCTTCCAAAAACCTTGTGAACGTCCAAAATATTCTCTTTCGATCTTAGCCCGATTTGGGAGGGCAGATTTGGTATTGTGTGGGTGCAGGGTTAATAAAGAGCTCAAAGCGCCACTGGTCCCGAAAACCATCTCCACACTCCTCAAGCACTGACCTCCTCAGTTAACTTCCCGCCTCTTCCCTGAAAGTGCAATTTAAACAGCCGATATTAAATTACAATTAAAATATTTTTGTAGTGTGATTAACTTCGACTCTCATGATGGCTAAGCAGTCTACAAGTCTCAATAAGTCTTTCGACAGAATATTGAGACTCCAATAGGCACTTCTGGTTAACGAACATTTTGATGTTTAAAGTTGTATTCCAGACTTAAAGTTGGTCAAAGAATTTGCGTAAACTCTACAGGGATTTACGATTGGTGGCTGGTATTCCCTCATCCCTGATGTCGATGGAATGGCTCATGCAAATTTTTCGTCTCCACTGGTTCTGCTGACGGGAAATGGGGGTAAAATGGGAATTGCGCTGACGGATGGTGGATACCGCATCACTGGCTGGATGTGTGATGTCGCCTGTTCTGGCCCCTCAGAGGTTCTAATCGCCACCTCTCACCACAATCAGTGGTTCCATGTGGCCCTCTCCTGGCTCGATAATGAGATCTACCTATTTCTAAACGGCAATCGCATTTCCAAGTGTGTGAATACCTCAGAAACCAAAAAGATAGGAGAGAAAATCTTTAGCACAACTGGAACAAATCCAGCCTACCTTGCTGTTGTTGCACCTCCACACCAAGACATCGGTTACCGACTGGCTGTGGCCATCGTTAACATTTGGGATACCTGTGTAGACTCTGAGTTCAACATTGGAGATTTTATGGGTCTGTCGAGAGCACAGAAAAATTATTTCTCGAGATCGACGATCTACTGGCCAATGTCTGGACTACTTACCCACCTTGCACCCAGTCGAATAATTACTTCAGATATTGAAAGAGCAAAGGACATGAGAAATGTCGAAGGAGGAGCTTTGTGCACCAAATCTACACACGGATCTTACATAGTTCTTACCGGTGATCATAGACCTGGAGGGAATTACTCAAACCTCTACTACTCTTGCCTTTATGATGCTAATCAGTGTCATGAGCTCCTCCTCATTGTCAATTTTCGTTTGAATGCTGAGCTAAAAATGGAAGATCAGGAATTTGTCATCCTCAAAACGCCTCCAGAAGGTAACGCAGCGGGAATTGAGATCTCCATCAATCCGATGAAAGAAATGTTAAAGCTGACACGTCGCAAAACAAAATCAAAGTGCAGCCTCTCTGTAAACTTAGGCTCGGCAATAAATACATTAAAGGAGTGGACCAATCTACAAGTCAGTTTCTCTGATCAAGACCTCAGACTGTATTTAAATGAAGAATTTGTATCGGTA